TTCCCAATAAAAGTAGCCACTAAGGCCAGAAGAGAGGGCAGCAAAACTACTCTGGATTTAAACTGATTTGTACCTGAAATATTCCACATCATAATTAATCAACTTCACTTGCATGCCTTCAGAAATGGCAATATAGCATTGTTAAATAAAAGCAGAAGGGACAGACCAATTAAAATGTAAAAACAATCTTAAGAATATAAGAATTATGAGCAAGAGTGGACCATTCAGCCCTTGAAGCCTGCTCGGACATTCAATGAGATCATTGCTGATCTGTTACTTCACAATTTTCATGCAATTTCCATATATCCTATGATGTCTTTAATATGACAAAATATATCAATCTCAATCTTAAGTATAATCAATGATTGAGCCTCTATGACCCTCTGAGGTAAAGAGTTCCAAAACTCTCCAAAACCAAAAGAGTTCATCCACTTCACCAACACCTTCCATCCCAACCTTAAGTTCACCTGGACCATCTCTAATACCTCCCTCTCCTTCCTGGACACCTCTGTCTCCATCTCCGGCAACCACCTAGAAACCGATATCCATTTCAAGCCCACCGACTCCCACAGCTTACCTAGAATACACCTCATCCCACCCACCTTCCTGCAAAAATGCCATCGCCTATTCCCAATTCCTTCGACTCTGCCGCATCTGCTCCCAGGATGAGGCATTCCACTCCCGTACATCTCAGATGTCCTTGTTTTTCAAGGACCGCAACATCCCCCCCTCAAGTGGTCAAGAACGCCCTCAACCGTGTCTCCCGCATTTCCTGCAACTCATCCCTTACACCCCCTCCCCGCAATTACAACCAAAACAGAATCCCCCTTGTCCTCACGTACCACCCCACCAACCTCCGGATCCAACGCATCATCCTCCGACACTTCCGCCATCTGCAATCCGATCCCACCACCAAAGACATTTTTCCCTCCCCACCCTTATCTGCCTTCCGGAGGGACCACTCTCTCCATGACTCCCTTGTCCGCTCCACACTCCCCTCCAGCCCCACCTCACCCGGCACTTTTCCCTGCAACCGCAGGAAGTGCTACACCTGCCCCTACACCTCCCCCCTCAACCCCATCCCAGGCCCCAAGAAGACTTTCCACATCAAGCAGATGTTTACCTGCATATCTGCTAATGTGGTATACAGCATCTGCTATTCCCGTTGTGGCCTCCTCTACATCGGGGAAACCAAGCGGAGGCTTGGGGACCACTTTGCAGAACACCTACGCTCGGTTCGCACTAAACAACTGCACCTCCCAGTCGCGAACCATTTCAACTCCCCCTCCCATTCCACAGATGACGTGTCCATCCTGGGCCTCCTGCAGTGCCACAACGATGCTACCCGAAGGTTGCAGGAACAGCAACTCATATCCCACTTGGGAACCCTGCAGCCCAATGGTATCAATGTGGACTTCACAAGCTTCAAAATCTCCCCTCCCCCTACTGCATCCCAAAACCAGCCCAGCTCGTCCCCGCCTCCCTAACCTGTCCTTCCTCCCACCTATCCCCTCCTCCCACCTCAAGCCCCACCCCCATTTCCTACCTACTAACCTCATCCCGCCCCCTTGACCTGTCCATCCTCCCTGGACTGACCTATCTCCTCCCTACCTCCCCACCTACACTCACCTTTACTGGCTGCATCCCTGCCTCTTTGACCTGTCTGCATCCTCTCTACCTATCTTCTCCTCTATCCATCTTCTATCCGCCTCCCCCTCTCTCCCTATTTAATTCAGACCCCCCTTCCCCTCCCCCATTTCTGATGAAGGGTCTAGGCCCTAAACGTCAGCCTTCCTGCTCCTCTGATGCTGCTTGGCCTGCTGTGTTCATCCAGCTCTACACCTTGTTATCTCCAAAACTCATCACCTTTTGAGTGAAGAAATTCCTCTTCACCTAATTGTTACATGGCTATCCTTTACTCTATCCTGGTTCAAGAACCACCCACCTCAGGCAGGAGACTCAACCTTCCTGCATCGACACCAATGATTTCTCTAAGAATTTTGTATGTTCAAATGTGACAACCTCTCACTGTTCTAAACTCCAGGGAACTCTTCGTCTGTAATAGGAGAATCTGTTTATCCCAGGGATTGGTTTGAACCTTTGTTGCCTTCTGTCCATGACTTATATACTTTTCCTTGGTTAAGGAAACCAAAACTGCACGTAATACACCAACGCTTTATATAATTGCAGTGAAATGTCTTTTCTCTAATATTCAGATTCACTTATAGTAAAGGTCAGTGTACAATTTGCCTTTTGACTCGCTTGCTGTCTATACTTGTCTTTTTCTACCTTATATTCCATCTGCCAAACTTTTGCTTACTCATTTAGCTTCTTCAAATCTTCTTGAAATGTCTTTGCATCCTCCTCACAACTCACCTAGTTTTGCCATTAGCTAACTTGGAAATATTACATTTAATCTGCATGCAAATTATTACCATAGATTCTGATTAACTGGAGCCCAAACACTGATCCTTGTGATACCCCTCTGTTCACAGCGTGCTACGCCAAAAATGATCCATTTATTCCTATTCACTGTTTTTTGTCAGTTAGCCAGTTCTCAATCCATGATACTACATATTCCCCTCAATCTCATGGCCTTTAAATTTATTTACCAACCTCTTGTAAACAGTCTGACTGTCTAGACAGTCTGAATTTTCTATATCAGTCAGTTTCCCTTATCTGTTCTGCTGGTTACAGCCTCAAAAATATTAACAGCAGGCTTCATAAATCCATGTTGACTCTACCCAATGCTACCATTAATTTCTATGTGTCTTACTATGACATCATTTATTATAGTTTCTAGCATTTTATCTATGATTGATGTTTGCCAAAACTTTAAATGACTGATGTTAGGCCAAAAGTCAATATCTACCAGTTTTCTCTGTCCTTAACTATTGGGTTTACATTTGTCACTACCTAATCTGCAGAAACTAATCCAGAGTTTATGGAATTTTGAAAGATGATCATCAGTGTATCTACTATATTTATAGCCATCTTTTTCACACTGTTTGGAATATAGTGTGTCAGGATTCCAGGAGAAATATCTATTTTAAGTTGCTTTAATTTCTGTAATTTCTTTTTTTGATATAATACCTTACAATGTCCATTTTCACCACTTCCTAGATTCTCCATTTATTTTTAGAAGGTTCTTTTATATTATCTTCTGTGAAAACAGATGCATAGAGCTAGACTGTATTTAATTCCATATCTGCATGATAAGTTTTCCTCAGTTTCCATGCATTGGTTATGTATTTGTTTTTCTCACTACTTTTCTTTTTGCATCCCTATCAAGGCTTTTACAATCCTTTTTTTATGTTTTTGCTAATTACTTTCATTCTATTTTACTTTGTTTTCTTGGTCTTCCTTTGCAGAATTGTAAATTGGTGCCAATCCTCAGGCTTACCATAGTTCTTTTTTTAGCAACTTCATAGGTCTCATGGCCTCGTCCTTTAACCTAGCACAATCTTTGATTTCTTTTGTTAGCTACTATTGGAATACTCTCATTGGGAGGCTTTTTGTGATTAAAGAAATTTATTTTTGTTAACTTTGCTAATTCTTAAATTTTAGGCATTGCCTGTCTACCATGATATCTTTTAATGTAGTTTCCCAATCTAGCAGAATCAGTTTGCCTTTTTGACCATTAGTTTCCTTTGTTTAGAATTAATACGATAGTTTCAATTGAACTACATCACTTTCAAACTAAATTCTATTATAATATGAAAGTCATATTGTGAATATTATGGTCACTCTTTCCTGTAAACTTCTTTACAACAAAATTAGTAATTAATTCATTTTAATTGCACAATACCAGATCTAAGATAACCCATTCCCTAGCTTGTTCCTTCACATGCTGCTTTAGAAAACCATCACATATGCATTTCCAAGAATTCATTTCTGCAACATTAATTACTAATTAGATTCACCCAGTCTACATGCAGATTGAACAATCCCTCCCCATGCCTCTGCAATGACTATCCAGTCTTGCATGTCAATTTTTATTTGAATAAACAATTCATCTGTTTTATTGTTAATTCTGCAAGCTTTCAAGTACAGAGCACTTAATTTAGTTTTTTTTTAAACAAAGTTTTGTAAATTCTCATGGTATCTTCTGGCTAACTCTTAAACTTGCAATCACTGTCCCTTCCTGCCTTACTCTGATAATGATGACCTTTATTGCTACATTAATTAATTGCTTTGACATTTCTCTTTAACTTATTCACTATTTCTCTACATGATCCCTTCCCCTTCTATTGAGTTTAAAGCCCTCTCTACTTCTTTAGTTAATAGTACTCATTAGAACACTGGCCCCAGCTCAGATCAGGTTCGCCATCCCAATGGTACAGCCTCTACTTTCCCCAGTATCGCTGCCTGTGTCTCATGAAGAGGAACCTACTTCTCCAGTTCTGAAGAAGGGTCACTGGACCCAAAACGTTAACTCTGATTTTTCTCCTCAGATGCTGCCAGACCTGCTGAGCTTTTCTAGCAATTTCTGTTTTTGTTTCTGATATGCAACATCAGTAGTTCTTTTAGTTTTTAACCTACTTCTCTCTCCCAAGTCTTTGAGCCATGCATTATTTTTTGTAATTTTATTTCCCTAATTCAATTTGTTAATAATCCGGAGATTTCATTCTTTGAGATTCTGCTTATTACTTTCATGCCCAGCTCCTCTCACTCCCTGTGTCGAACCTGTTTTACTGATATTGTCGATATGTACGTTCACCACCGCAGTTGAATCATACCTTCCCACTGCAATCTTGTTGAGTTTGCAGTGATCAAGGAATGTTTATGTTTAGTTTGATTTTGGTGACTCAGAAGAATTATTCAGATTTTTGCTTCATTTCTTTTAATGAATTTAAGTAGCTTTTTGTTAACTTGATTTTCATTGTTAAATCCAAATGATATCCGTTCTGCACAAGCTTGTTTTAACTTGAATATCAGTTTAAATGAAATATTTTCAAACTGAATTTTTGAGGACAAAATAGTTTTCTTGTTTAACACAGGTCTTTGAAAAATTCACAAAGGAATCAACATCATTGCTAGATGAGCTGGCTCTAATTAATAATGGATCTGAGAGAGGCAATCAACAGGAGAAAGAAAGGTAGGAATAAAATGTGCATATGATATTTGGTTTCATTTAAGAAGAACTATGATTTTATGTTCTTCAGAACAGTCATACTGGACTCAAAATGTTAACTCTCTTTCTCTTTCCACACATACTGCCAGACTTGCTGATTTTTCCAGCGTTCTCTGTGTTCATTTCTGATTTCTGGCATCCACAGTATTTTGCTTTTATCCCAGGCTTTACTCCCTGTTAGACAAACCTATAGCTTCCTTCTGTACCTTACCCCATCCATTGAAGGAGGCACCAACATACACAGTGCTGGCTCATTGTCAGTAGCAACTGCAGTTGCTCCATTCCATTTTCTCATTGACTTCATTCCCATTTTATCCACTTGTCAATCTTTGTCCTGTTTAACTCAGCCACTGACTGTAGGGTTTCCTCCAGGTGCTCCGGTTTCCTCCCACAGTCCAAAAATGTGCAGACTAGGTGGTTTGGCCATGCTAAATTTCCCACAGTGCCCAGGGATGTTTAAGTTAGGTGGATTAGACATAGGAAATGCAGGGGTAGTGGAATGAGTGGGATGCTCTTCAGAGGGGCAGTGTGGACTTGTTGGGCTGAATGGCATGTCTCCACGCTGTAGGAATTCTATGATTAACTCTCACCATCTCTCTACGCATTTGCCTTTCAAAATGTATATTCACTTATGAATAAAGCCCCTGCCATCCATGAACTTTATTGTGGTTGGTTCCATCAGATCATGGTCTTAACAGCAACTTTGCACAGATGATGATACCTACCCCCTTGATTTTGCCTCCCTGCCTAGTTACATCTTCCACCGTTCACCCCATCAAAAACAATGGCTGCGTGGTATATATCACAAGCTCACAACTTGACCTGACCCCCTATTCCCCTGCCACTTTTTGTTCCTTTCAGCATCTCACCATATTCTAATCCTGTCATCTGTGTTTCAGAGTCATTGTTTCCTGCAACTGGCTCACAAGTTCACTAAAAAAGTTCCACTGAGATGCATTCACTACTTTCCTCCCTCAGCCTCTGCTCCAAATCACTTGTCATCCTCAATGATTTCATTCTTCGTCTCAAGTCATTACATTCTCTCCTCTGCCCTCTTATTTACTGTAAATTTCTCCCTTCATGTAAACTCCTCAATCCACACTCCCAACTGTCATCTTAACCTTGCCACTTATAGGGTGTGGATATTCCTGCAATTTCATTCCCAGAAAAGGCAATCTCTGTTAACTACTTTGTGTCGCTCAGCATTCATATCACTTCTTTCTGCACCTGCCCCTGAAAATTCACTTACAATTGCACTTCCAAATACCAATAACTAGCCTATGACCCTCCTTTTGCCACATTTCTGCAGCTACTCAACTGTGATCTCCATCTAATTTCTCATCACGTAGTCTTAGAGTCACTTTACTTTTTCTCTCCTTGGCCACTTAACTTTATATGGCCTTCATCATCATCCATTGAAGCCCATGTGAGACTGAGTTGGAAGTGTATTGCACCGCAACTGGTTTAGACTTCCAGTGCCAAACCTGACTAGCCTGCCTAATGCAAAACCAGGTCCTACCCTCATCATCTGAAACTACTACTACTTCAGGAACCCTCATCAGTTCCTTCGTTACCTCTTGACCTGACTCTGGCAGCACACTTCTGGCTGGTCACCCACACTCTATCCTTCATCATTGAAGCCATCTAAAATTTTGTTACCTATGGTCTTAACTTGCAGCAAGTATTAGTTGACCCTTGTGCTTGCTGATCTGAAGTTACTGGTCAAACAATGTCTTGACTTTAAAATGCTTTTCTTGTTTTCAAGTCCCTTTGTGACCTTTCCCTTCCTTATTACTGTAATAGGTTTATGGGAATTTCGTCCAACCCATAACTTTCCATTTTCATGATATACAAGGCTGTACTAAATCAAAAAATCAAAATTTTTAGAGGAGATCCTACAGCAGTTAAACTTTTATTTTGCACTGCTACAGTTGAGAGTGATCTCATTTTTGGAAGCTTTGCCTGGTACAGCTGTCTTATGAATGGAATCCCTTTTTAAGGCTACAGAACTTCGTAAACCAGACAGGGAGAGTATTTAATGAGATGATCGCCTTTCATGAAGTCTGATGAACAATGAGGATCACCCTATGTCAGTCAGTATTACTGCTTGATGCACTTAGGGAAAAGTCTGTAATCTGCCAGACGTAGGACAAGTTAGCTCTTGAGCCAACTTCTGTCCATCTCCAAAAGAACTTTGAACAGGAACTAATATCTGGACAGGACAATTTACTTATGGTGGGCCCACTGACTACTTATTCTATTACATGAAGTTTGAAGACCATTTTAATTAAAATTAGATTTCTATAATACAGTAATATTTTTCTTTATTATTTGCTTCGAAACTTTTTAACGAACAAGAATGCACACAAGATTATTTTCTGCATGGACAATAAAGTGACTGCATTCAATCATTATTGCTGTATCATTGGTGGCCATACCTTCAATTGCTTCAACCCACACACTCTAGAATTCCCTCCTTATGCCTCTCTGCCTCTCCATCTCACTTTTCATTTTAAAGATACTTCTTGAAACCTGTCTTTTTTTTGTCCAGGCTTTTGATTATAGATCATCTTGTGTGTCTCAGTGACAAATTTTATTTATGATTCTCCTATGAATTGGCTTGGGACAGTTATTGTATAAATGAGCTGTTGTACATAAGAAATTATGCAGTACCTCTTAGTGCCACCAGATCGGGTTTTATAGATCACATCTAAGGGCAAGCCAATGTTTGTTGTTTCATCTCAACTCTTCTAAAATGTTTAGCAATTCAGTAACTTTATTTTCTAGGATTGCTTATTTGTGATTTTTATTTTACACCTTGTATGGCATTTAGAAAGTTTAACACTTTGTTTGCATTGGTAGACCTGTGGAATACAGTTTTCTTCCTTCCGTGGATCCAGAAACGGTTTTACAAACAGGTAGCTTTTCTTAATAAATGTTAAGTGTTTAAAACATGTTAATTGCCACAGAAATTGCTAAATTTTGCAAGTAACTTTGTAAACTGACCAGCTCTATAAAAATGTAATGCAATTTTTATTTCTGCATTTGTTTTGTGTTGTTTACACATTGGTTTGCAAGTTAAATATCAATGCCACTTTTCTAAAAAAAAAATTTCATTTTGGGATTTCAATTACTTCTACTCATGAAATAATACACCCATGTGTTTTTTTCTCTATGTTGTCATTCAGATAATGTTGTGACATTGAACTTTTCCGATGTTTAAACAAAGGAATTGTTCATGTAGGATGTGTCAACGAACGTAACTATTAATTCAATTACGGTGTTCATGTTTTTAGAACATGTCCATTTTCATGGCAAATAAATATTTTTTGGTAGTTTAGCTTCTGAATGGATGAGAATTGGACAAAATGGGCATATTGGCTGCACCTGCTCCAATGATGTAGCAATGTTGGTTCCCATTACCCCATTTTTGGCTCCTACTTGCAGTAATGTTTTGCAGCTGCTTATCAATAGAAAAAAAACTTGCATTAGAGTTTATTAAGGATTCAACTTGTGATGTCTTACTGGATTGTTTTGTCCTATAGTTGCTGCTTGGCTTACTGAGTTATTTCAACATTGTTGTTCTCCTCTCGGCTTTCCAGGATCCACAGTATCTTGCTTTTGAATTTTTCTTTTTGTTGCGCCCTCTATTTCGTTAAATGGCTATATTTCCCAATATTGCCATAATTGCTTTCTGTTTTGAGAGACATTTTTGGTTCATTTGAATTGTATCTTTATAGATGTATCCTGTTGTGATGCATTTATGGTGACATATGTTCATTTTGGATATTTAATTTGTCCTCTTGTGCAGCTCAAACCCATGTGCCCAACCTTCCTTTCCCCCTCTCTCCAGATGTAACCTAAATGGGGCCATCAAAAGTTGAGGCTCAGTGAGTAGCACTCATTTCTGTCAAATGGCTGCACACAAAAATCTAGGCTAATATCCACTGCAGTACCAAGGAGATGCTGCACTGTTGGAAATGCCACCTTTCGAATGACACATTAAACTGAGTTACATCAATTCTGGAAATCAACATTTCCACAGCAATATTTTGACGGTGAGCAGAAGAGTTGCTCCCAATGTCCTGATCAATATTTATCATTCAATCAATATTATAAAAACCGATTACTTGGTCAAAATTGTTAAGGGGTTGCACACTTAAGACGGAAGAAGAGGAGCTTCTTCTCAGAGAGCTCTGAATCCGTAGGATTCTTTACCACAGAGACTGTTGAGGCTGGGTCATTTAAACATATTCAAGGCCGAGATAAAGAGATTTCAAATCAATGAGGGAATCGAGGGTGTATAGGAAAAGGCAGGAATGTTGAGTTGTGAATTGTCCAAGCAGCTATGATCTTATTGAATGGTGGAGCAGACTTGATGGACTGAACGGCTTACTCTGCTGCTACATCTTGTGGTCTTGTCACGTTACTGTTTGTGCAAACTTGCTGTGTTCAAGTTGGCTGTGGCATTTCCTAAATAACAAGGGTGAATGCACCTCAAAAGTACTTCATTCACTATAAGGTGCTTTGGGACTCTTGAAGTTGTGGAAGCGGCTATGTAAATGCCAATCTTTCTTTTCGAATCTATGTAATAATTCTTAATGAAAAATGTTTTGCCTTTTGCTGTACCAAAATGCTTTTGCTTTTTCAGCCAATCTGCCTTGCATTTAATATTTTTTATTTGTTCTTCGGATGTGGGTCTGGCTGACAGGTCATCATTTGTTTCCTATCCCTAATTGCCTTTGAAAAGATGGTGGTGAGCCCACTTCTTTAACCACTGCATTCCCACATTGCTGTTCAGGAATTTTATGATTTTGACCTGTTAACAGTGAAGGAGATGTGATATGGTTCTAACTCAAGATGGTGTGTGACTTGGAAAGGAACTTGCAGGTGGCAGTGCCCTTGACCTTCTAAGTGATAGGAATCACAGATTTTGAAGTGACTGTTAAAGAAGCCTCAGTTAGTTGCTGCAGTGCATCTTATGGCAGACATTGCTGCTGCCATGTAAAGGTGGGGAGGGTGAAAATTTTTCAAGGTGGGGATGAGTTGCTGGTCAAGCGGGCTGAATTGTCCTGAATGGTGCTGACTTTCTTGAGTATTGGTGGAGTGGAAATCATCCCACATTGTTTTGTAGATGGTGGACAGACTTTTGGGGAGTCATGTGGTAAATTATTTGCTGCAGAATTACCAGCCTCTGCCCCTGTTTTTGTAGCCATAATACTTATGTGGCTGGTCCATTTAAGTTTCTGATCAATAGTAATTCCCTGGATGTTGATCATGAGGGATTCAGCAATGGTTACTCACAAGTTTATATTGGATAGACTTTAGATAAGGCTCACTATATGCTTCTTTGTGCTCTGATTCAAACTGTCATTATCACTTTTTTTTGTGTTATAATTTGTCAAATCTTGTTAAGTGTTGAGAGAATGCACTGACTTCTTGATTGATACCTATAACTTTCTGTTTTATTTAATGGCATTTCTATGGTGCAATATAAACATTAAATTCAAATGATATCTGAATTGTGTTGTTAATTCATTACTATGCAAATTGTGAGAATGCTAATCTCCAAAACTAGTGCTTTCTTTGTTTGCCGTAGTGTCAAGATGTCGAATATGTCTGTTAGCTCTCTTAGGACAGTCTCTGTTATGCTACTGGTAAGAAGTTTCACAACAGCAAGACTTTTTCACTAAGGGATTTGTTGTAGTATCTGCATTATGCACATAAAACAACAGTTGTTGTACTTACAAGGGCATAATGCCTGAGAAAATAGTTTTTAAAATTTTTGTTTTGTGGGATGTGGGCATCATTGACTGGACAGCATTTATTGTCCCTCCCTAATTACCTTTAAGATGACATTGGTGAACTGCTGCTTTGAACTGCTGCAGTCCATGTGGAGTGGGTAAACCCAGCATGCTGCTGTGAATGATGTTTTAGGATTTTGATGCAGTGACAGCAACAGAATGGTGATACAATTCCAAATCAGGATGGTGTGCAGATTAGAGGTAACTTACAGATTGGTAGTGTTCCCATGCATCTTTATTGCAAATTTGGAATGTACTGTCAAGGGAAGCTTAATGTATTTCCACAGTGTCTTGTCGATTGTGCACATTCCTCTCGCTATGTTTTGACTTTGGAGGGAATGAATGTTGAAGGTGGTGGATAGTGTTGCCTGTCAAGCAGGCTGTTTTGTCCTAGATGACGTTGAGCTTCTTCAGTGCTTTTGGAACTGTGCTTGTACAAGCAAGTGGAGAGCATTCTATCACATGCTTGACTTGTACCTTGGAGACGGTGGAGAGGATTTTAGGAGCCAGGAGCTGAGGTACTTCCTGCAGAATTCCTAGCCGCTGACCTGCTTCATAGCTATAATACTTATATAGCTGGCCCAACTCCTCCCTTTGAGCCAACAAATGCCTTTTAACATGAGTGTGTTTCAAAAATTGCATTTTTTGGTTTTGAAGTAAGAAATACTTACACAAGTAGTATGTATATTAAAAATTGAATTGAGAACTGGTATTTAAATGTTTTCTGGCATTACTCTAAAGGTCATGAACTCCTATCAGAATTGCAACAGCGCCGCTTTAATGGGTTAGAAGGAGGTATGTCATGGTCCCCAATGGACGACGAATTGTTAGCTCAGCCCAAAGTAGTGAAACTACTGGATTCTTTACGAGAACAATATACTAGATACCAAGAAGTCTGCAGACAGCGTAGTAAACGTACGCAACTAGAGGAAATACAGCAAAAAGTTATGCAGGTGAGCAATAATTATAAATGTTATGACATTTCTACAAACTACGATGGTTTGATCTTAAGACTACTCTGTTCACTGCTTGTAGAATTGAATCCTAAGTCAAGGAGATTGCAGACCGTTTTGCCTTACCTACTTTTTATCTAAGCTAACAGTTGAGGTTTTGAAATTGGCCTTGGAGTCCCTGAGTTACCAAAGTGGGCAATTGACAAGAGTATTTCAGTCATGCCTCTGAGTCAGAAGAGTGTTGTTTCAAGCCCCAATTTAAAGACTTGGGCACATTAATATAGATTGGACATTTCAGTTATCTGAAAGTATATTGCAGTACTGAGGATGCCATCTTTCAAAAAAGATCTCAAACCAAAGCTTTTTGACTGTGTTTGGGAAAAGAGCAGGCAAGTACTGGAAAAGTTTATTCCGAAGCCAACGTAGCTAAAAATTTTAAAATCTGATTGTTAATCTGATTGGTATTTGTGTGATTCTCCTGTATGCGTACTCATTGCAGATTTTCATACATTACAACACACACTTAAAAAAAATTTTATTAGCTCTGAAGCACTTAGCAATGACCTGAGATTGAGAAAAGCAGTATACAAACAATTATTTCCTCTGTCCCATTCCTGATTGCTGTCCAGTGAGCCCTGAAACAAAAATTGTATTTATAGACTCCAGGTAAAGTGTTTGAATATGATTTTTACACATTGCAAAGTAGTCTATCATTAATCCTTTTCTAGACTTAAAAATAGAAAAAATGTCCCTGGCCAATGTTGACAGTGTCTGGTAATATGGAAGACACAGTTGATGGGGTGGTACTATGAAGGTCCAGCCTGCACTAAAGGCCAAATTTGGAGGACAACAGATGTCTTGGTGGATTGTAAGGCTGGCAGTCTACGAGGAGAGGGACATTGGAAGAATTTGAATACAAGGATGACATTTTCAAAATCAAGACATTGCTGGACGAGGAACCTATAAAGACCAGTGAGCACAGTGTTAATGGGTGAATGGGACTTGGTGTGCATCATAAAAGTTATAGCACAGAAGTATTCACATGAATGTATTGTGAAAGAACTATTCACTTAGTTCTATTTCCTTTCCGTTTCCTATATTCTTAATAATTTTAATTGAAATATTTATCCATTTCACTTTTAAACGCTAGATTGTTTTTCCATGACAAAATCCATTTGGGTATCATGTGTCATAATAAAATGTTGCATAAAAATACTTCTAACCTCTCCCTTTGTTTTTCCAATGAAGATCTTGCACTCATGTTCTTTGATTACCTCTATTTCATATATTCAATTTTCTTCAAAAGGATATATTGATTTCCGTCTCAAACATTTACTGAGGCTCGGTATTCCATGCTCTAACAGCTTTTATTTAAAAAGATTTTCTTCTGTCATCGCTCTCTTGGTGAACTGATAACTCGTCAATTACTCATACATCAAAATCCTTTATAGTTTTCAAATCTTTTATTCACCTTCTCTGCTGTAATATCTCCTCTCTCGTTATAGATATGGTTTCCCAACCCTTGAGGTCATGTGTGGCTCTATTCTGTACCATGTCAGTGGCTTTAATGTTTTTTTCAAAAAAAGTGTAAGCCTTACATATATATATAGTTCAGGATGTCCTAAAGCACTTTTAAACTATTTAATTGTCTGTAAGTATGGTCAATATTGTAAGAAATGTGACAGCCAATTCAGACACAGCAAACTCCCACAAACAACATTGTGCTAATAATTAAATGATGTGTTCTTATGATGTTGAAGAAGAGCTAAATATTGGTTAAGACATCAAAAATAACTCCCTTGCTGTTCAAAACAGTCTCAAGGAATCTTTTACATCCACCTGAGAGAACATGCAGAGCTTTGATTTAATGTTTCGTATGAAAGAAGGCAGGCAGTGCAAAAATACTTCCGCAGATGGTTCCAGCTGATAGAAATCTGTAAGAAATTCCTGTTGAGTTTCTCCAGCACTTTCTGTTTTTATTTGAGATACTAAGAGTGTTATTTAGCATCTTGACCCAGCAGGTCAGTTATAAGCAGGTACTTCCAAGAGGAGAGGAAGTCTGAGCTATTTGGGAGTGCATTCTACATGAATGGGTCCAGGCAACTTGATGGTACAGCAGCTCATGGTGAGGTAAAGCCAGTGGGTATGCACAAATCAAACAGCAGAAGAGGCTAGAATCAGAGGAACAGATAGTTTGGGGAAGAATGGATTGTAGCACTGTATGAGGTTTCAGGGATGGGAAGGGATAAACTAATGGAGAGCTGTAGCACTGAGGATGAGAATTCCAAACTGAGGCAATGTAGATTGCTGAGTGCAAGACCTTGAGTGGGGCGTGGTCCAGGCTAAAATGTAGTTGCCAGAGATGTGTAAGAAATTAATCTTAGGCATTAAAGTATTGGAAGGGAACTGGAGAACATTGAATAATTGAATCTGGAGGTAAAACGTTCGTGCATTTCAACACTTGGAACTGCAGTACAATTGTTTTCCTTTAACTTTATTGTTGGTGACATTTGACAGCAATTCCTTTCTATTTCGGGAGCTGACATTATTAGCTTTTACTTGATGCAAATACAAAATGACACATTTGAAAGGGTTGAGTCATTCACAGACTGTCATCCCCCCAGAAGAGTGGATCTGCAGGTTAATTAATGGCTCAAGCTGAAAAATATATTCAGTAATTCATAATTAGTAAAACATTTCAAACTTGCTCATCAAGGACTGAAACAATTTATGTGTTAAGTAAATCTTCCAAAAGCATCCTTTATTTGGAAAGAATGTACTGAACTTAGTGGTTTTGGAGCCAGCACTTCTTTTGCGAGACTGTTGGTGTAATTGAAAATCGTAGATTTTTTGCTGCATATATCAACTTTTTTTTTTGGTTTGGTAAACAGTTACTCTTGCTGTCATTTATCATCTGTGATCCAAGCAGCTGCCCTAAGCGACACCCAGTGTATTTCGTGTTGGATTGGGAACAACCTTGGATTGGGAAGTACACAGGAGCAAAAACACATGGAGTTTTCATGATGTTTTTGTCCCTCTCCTTTCCTATTTTATGTTTTCTGGAAATGTGCTACTTACGTTACAACCAAATAGCTACCTAAGTTGAAGAGCATTTTGAAGAAGCGTGGGTGAAAGCTGGCCTGCTGAGTCACCATGACACTGTGCATTGATGTCACCAAACATTTCACTAAACTTCAGTTTTTAAATATAACAACAAATTATTTGCAAAATAATTGATGTCTAAGCTATGAAAATGTATATTCCTTTTCAAGTGTCCATTCCCTATCTGGTTGTACCACAGATGGTTTTATTTGCATTGTTCTACTTCACATGTGTGTCATTTTCAGTAACATAGTCATGATGAAGATTTGTCATTCAATTCATTTAGCAGAATTAATTTCTCACTTAAGGTTGTGAACTGGTTGGAAGGACCTGGGTCAGAACAACTGAGGACTCAATGGGGAATAGGGGATTCAATTCGAGCTTCCCAAGCTTTGCAGCAAAAACATGAGGAAATCGAAAGCCAGCACAGTGTAAGTTTCTTTCAAATTGTTTACGTAGTAAGTACATTGAATGCATACTGATTAGTAGAGTTAAGAATGCTAGAGAATTCAAGGAGCCAATTTGTTTTATTAGGATTTATTTGTTGGGGAATGAAATAACTCTGAGAAGACAAAGAGAATTTAAAACCAAATAAAATTATATAAAGTGCATGATTTGGTCCTTTTTGCAATACATGTAGTTTACCCAACAACTAAAGATGGATTAAGTTAAATTATGTGACAGATATTCTTTCTGAAAAGTACAGTTTGAGAAAATATCATGTATTAGATTACGTTTACTGTAGGGAATGCTTATAAGTCTTGGGCATTGCTGGCAAGACCAGCAATTTGTTGTTCATCACCAATTGCTACTGAGAAGCTGGTAGTGAGCCATAACCTTGAAGTGTTCTGTTATGTAGATGCACCTGCAATGCTATTAGGAGACAGTTCCAGGATTTTGATCACTAATAGTGGAGGAATGGTCATATAGTTCCAAGGCAGCATGGTCAGTGCCTTGGAGAGGAATTTACAAGTGTTAGTGTATTTATGCTTCTGCTGTCCAAGCCTATCAAGGTGATAGAGCCTGTAAATTTTGAATATACTACAGGAGTTACTGCAGTGCATCATGTAGTATCATAGAGTCATAGAGCTGTACAGCATGGAAACAGACTCTTCCGTCCTACTTGTCCATGCCGACCAGGTATCCTAAATAAATTTAGTCCCATTTGCCAGCATTTGGTCTTTAGCCCTGTAAACCGTTCCGATTCATGTTGTAATTGTACCAGCCTCCTCCACTTCCCCTGGCAGCTTGTTCCTTACATGCACCACCCTCCCAATGAAAGAGTTGCCCCTTAGGTCCCTTTTACATCTTTCCACTCTCACCTTAAACCTATGCTCCCTAGTTTTGGACTCCCTCACTCTGGGGAAAAGACCTTGTCTATTCATCCTATCCACGTCCCTCATGATTTTATAAACTTCCGTAAGACTGCCCCTCAGCCTCCGACATTCCAGGGAAAATGGGCCCAGTCCATTCAGCCTATCCCTATAGCTCAAACCCTCCAACCCAGGCAACATTCTTCTAAATCTTTTCTGAACCCTTTCTAGTTTCACAACATCCTTCCTATAGCAGGGATACTAGAATTGCAAACAGTATTCCTAAGGTGGCTTAACCAATGTGCTGTACAGCTGCAACATGACCTCCCAACTCCTATACTCAGTGCACTGACTAATAAAGGCAAGCATACCAAATGCCTTCTTCACTATCCTGTCTACCCGGAGCTCTCCTTTCAATGAACTGTGAACCTGCACTTTGTTCCGCAACACTCCCAGGAACTTGCCATTAGGTGGTATAAGTCCTGCCCTGATCTGCCTTTCCAAAATGCAGAACCTCACATTTATCTAAATTAAACTACATCTGCCACTCCTCGGCCAATTGGCCCATCTGATCAAGGTGCCAATGTACTCTGATGTAATCTTCTTCTCTGTCCACTACACCTCCAATTTTGGTGTCATCTGCAACTTACTAACCATGCCTCCCTTGTTCACATCCAAATCATTTATATGAATGACGCAGAGCAGTGGACCCAGTAGCGATCCTTGTGGCACACCACTGGTCACAGGCCTTCAGTCTGAAAAGCAACCCTCCACCAAAACCCTCTGTCTCCTACTTTTGAACCAGTTCCATATCCAAATGGCTAGATCTCCCTGTATTCAATGTGCTCTAAACTTGCTAACCAGTCTACTACGAGGAACCTTGTCACATGCCTTCCTGAAGTCCATGTAGATCGCATCCACTGCTCTGCCTCCATCAGTCCTCTTCATTACTTCTTCAAAAAACTCAACCAAGTTAGTGAGACATGGCTTTGTGCATGAGAAATCGTGTTAATTATCCCTAATCAGTCATTGCCCTTCCAAATACATGTAAATCCTGTCCCTTGGCATCCCCTCCACCACCTTGCCCACCACCGATGTCAGGCTCACTGGTCTGTAGTTCCATGGCTTTTCCTTACCACCTTTCTTCAATAGTGGCACCACACTAGCCAATCTCCAGTCTTCTGGCACCTTACCTGTGGCTATCGATGATACAAGTGTCTCAGCAAAGGGCCCGGCAATCACTTCCCTAGCTAGCTACAAAGTTCTAGGGTACACCTGATCGGGTCCTGATTAGTTATCCATCTTTATGCATTTTAAGACATCCAGCACCACCACCTCTGTAGTATGGACGTTTTTCAAATGTCACTATTTATTTCCCTGCGTTCTCTATCTTCCATATCCTTCTCCACAGTAAACACTGATGCAAAATACTCGTTTAGTATCTTCCCCATCTCCTGCGGTTCCACACATAGGCAGCCTCGCTAAACTTTAAGGGGCCTTATTTTCTCCCCAATTACCCTTTTGTCCTTCATGTAATTGTAGAATCCCTTTGGATTCTCCTTAACCATATTTGCCAAAGCTATCTCATGTTCTCTTTTTACCCTCCTGATCTCCCTGTTAAGTATATTCCTACTGCCTTTATACTCTTCTAAGGAATCACTCGATCACTGCTACCTATACCTGACATATGTTTCCTTCTTATTCTTGGCCAAAACGTCAATTTCCCTAGTCGTCCAGCATTCCCTACACCTACCAGCCTTGCCCTTCACTCGAACAGGAGCATGCTGTCTCTAGACTCCCATTATCTCCTTTTTGAAGGCTTCCCACTTTCCAGCTATCCCTTTTACCAGCAAACATTCACCCCCAATCAACTTTTGAAAGTATGGACATTGCACACTGGGTGCTGATTAAGCAGGCTGCTTTGTCCTGGGTGGTGTCAAGTATTGATGGAGCTGCACTCATCAGGCAAGTGCGGAGTATTCCATTGCACTTCTGATTTGTGCTTTGTAGACAGCAGATAGGCTTTGGAGAAAAGAAAAGTGAGTCACTCACTGCTAAATTCTCAACCTCCTTATAAAATGTAGATGTGAATGTGAGGGTGATGATAATTAAGTTTGCAGATGACACAAAGATTAGCCAGTTGGTTGACAGTGAGGAAGAAGATCTTAGGTTATGGGAGAATATCAACAGATTGCTCAGATGGACAAATCAGTACCGGATGGAATTTAATCCTGATAAATATGAGGTAATGCACTTTGATGAAGTAACAAGACAAGGGAGTACTCAATCTATGTTAGGACACTCCGAAGCTCAGAGGGATCTTGGGGCACTTGTCCACAGATCCCTGAAGGCAGCAAGTCCAATTAATAGGTGGTTAAGGCCTTTATTAGTCAAGGCATAGATTGTAAGAGCACGGAGATTGGAAATGTACAGGACTTGGATTAGGCCACAGCTGAAGTACTGTGTGCAGCTCTGCTACAGAGGAGATTCACCGGATCTTGCCTGGGATGAAGCATCTTAGCTATGAAGAGAGGCAGGATAAGCTTCAGTTCTTTTTGGATCAGAGAAGGTTGAGGGGGCTCCTGATAGAAGTGTATTAAGATTGAGGGACATGGACAGGGTGGATAGTGTGCAGCTGTTCCTCTCAGTTGAAGAGTCAGTAAAAAAAGGAGGCACTTCTAAGGTGAAAGACAGGATATTTAGAGGGGATTTGAACGAAAAACTTTTTTACCCAGAGAGTGGTAGGAATGCAGTGCCTGGGAGGGTGATTGAGACAGGTAACCTCACAACTTTTCAAATTTACCTTGATGAGCAATTGAAGTTTCATACCATTCAAGGCTGTGGGAGTAGTGTAGATTTAGTGTGTTTTTAGCAGTACAGACTCAGCTGAAGGGCCACTTCTGTACTGTATGATTCTATGATTCACTCATCTGCCCTTGCAGCCACAGTATTTATATAGCTGCTGTAATTCAAATTCTGGCCACTAGTAATCCCCAAAATGTTGATAGTGGAGACAATGCCATTGAGTATCAATGGGTGATGGTTAGATTCTCTCTTGTTGATGTTCATTGCTTGGCGTTTGTATTGCATGAATGTTACTTGACACATACTAGCTTGAGCCTGAATGTTGGACCAGTCTAGCTATAGTCCTGAAGAAGATTAGTGCCCGAAACGTTGATGCGTCCTGAAGAAAGGTAATACCCGAAACGTTGACTTCTCCCTTGCTCATCATGCTGCCTGGCTTGCTGTGTTCGTCCAGCTTCCTACTTGTCCACCTTGGCTGCATCTGGACACTGACTGCTTCAGTATCTGAGTGACAAATGGTGTTCAATATTGTGCAATTGTCCACAAGTGAAATGATCAACCTTAACTTTCTGCCTTTTGTGCTTGATATAACTTTAAGCAGAGGATGATTTTCTCTTAATCCTCATTGTCTTAAGTTTTGCAAAGACTCGTTGATGCTACAGTCTGTCAAATGTTGTCTTGATGTCAGGCTTATCGTTCTCACTTTGCCTCCTGAGTTCAGCTCTTCTGTCCATGTTTAGACCAATGCTAAATTGGTTCAAGAACTAAGTGGCTCTAGGGGAAACAAAACTGTGCCTCAGTGAGTAGGTTATTGCGATAGTCTTGTCTTGTCTTTTTGTGCAAAGGACATACCTTGGCAATTTTTCACTTGCTCTGGTAAGTGCTAGTGTTGTATTATACTGGAGTTCTAGAGCACATGTTTTCAGCCCTACTGTAGTCAGGCCCCTGATCTTTGCTGTAACTAGTGTCTTCAACCTTTTCTCGATGTCATGTGGCATAAATTGAATTGATAGAAGACTGGCATTAGTGATGCTGGGACCTTAGGAGGAAACCAGGACGGATCATTCACTCGGCACTTCTGACTAAAGATGAAAGCAAATACTTCAGCCTTACTTTTTGCATTTATATGCTAGGCTGTCCCATCACTAAGAATAAGAATATTTGTGGAGCCTGTCCTACTAGTTGTTTCAAAACTGAATGTGACAGGATTGCAGAGATTAGACCCGATCTGTTGTTTGTGGGAGCCTTAGTTCTGTCACTTGCTGTTTTACGAATGGCCCTGTGTTGGAACTTTACCAGGTTGCTTCATCTAT